ATGCACTTCAGTAAATCGCGAGACTGAAATGGTCGGGCCGAAGGCCCGACCATCGCCGCCGGCAGGCCAAGCAGGCCCGGCCCCTGCCGAACGGAGTTGCCGGCGCAGCGAAGTGGAGCTGGCAACTCCGTTTTGCGGAAGGGCGGGCCTGCTTGTTGGTACGTGCTACTGCTGACTGACTACATAGTAGCGACTCATAGACTCACCATCTGGCCTCCGGTGGCGCTGACCGCGCCCCCCGTGGCCAGGTGTGTACCGCGTTTTTGCTAGTCGAGAACATCTTATTCATCAATGCGGATGATCCCTCGGATCCGGATCATGCTGAATAAGTATGACTACACTAAATCTGAAAGGACTTTAATTGTCCATAGAAAGACGCGTTTTTTTCACATCTTTACCTGATACAAATTTGAATCTAGCAAGTGACGAATTTGCATCTTAATGGTGGACAAAAAATTATTGTCTAGAAAAGTGATTTCGTCACTTTCTGGATTCGTGCACAAAAATGCGTCTTTTATTCACGGACAATAAAAGTCCTTTCAGATTTAGTGTGACGGCTGGTCGATGTTTCTAATTTTGATTGCAGATCATTCACTGCTGCAGCGATAAACATGACCGAGGTGGTACACAGTACGGTGATCTCCAGAAGCTGCACGACCAGTCCCATCCTCGTGATAAGGCGGCCGTTATGGCAAGCGCAGAGATCATTGGCATGACAACGACGCGGGCCTCCTGCGTAAGGACTGATCTTGACAGGCTAGAAGTTAAAATTGGTAAGGGTTTGCCGAACACTTTACCTACAGAGTTTTATGGGGAAATGATACATTTGGGATTCACATTAAAGCCTCATGTATGTTTTGGGCTACAGCAGCATTTTTCACAACCCTAATGCGGGACCGTGTCCCCCCTGTGATAGTCATAGATTTCAATGATGCTTTAAACTGAGTTAATTGCACCCATAGACATTGTTTTACACTCGTTTTAGCTGCCTGTATTGTATAGCTTTCCAAGATTTTTCTAATCTTAGGAACAAAATTGCATCCAGATCTGGATGTGCACGGAAACATTTCCTTTTTAGGAACAAATCTGTCCTTTTACTGAGTCTTACAAAAGAAAATATGTGTCTGTTGCAGTAATCGTCGAGGAGGCAGCTGAAGCGCTTGAATGTCACATTTTAGCTGCAATTCCAATTGGCGCTCAGCATCTAATTCAGATTGGCAAGTTTCTTTTCTCTTTCACATTATCTTCATTTTTGTAAACTTTTGCAAATAATATTTTCTCATATTATTAATGATTGATAGTAATGAGCATGCAGCCTTTAAACCGAGGGGTCTACAACTCGTATAGTCAAAAGTACACGACCCTATAATCACTTATAATCACGTCTATAATCCATCATCTTTTATAATCATTATCTATAATCTATAATCATTCTATAATCTTATAATTTCTTAAAATCTTTTGTATAATCAGTGACATTTTTGTACAAAATAACTTCACAAAGTCAAAATATCACTAGTAAATGAAGAAAGAGAACTATCTTGGGAGCTGGGAGCGATGGTGTGGACAAGTCTGACTGAGTGTATGAGTGTATGAGATTAGTTCTTTCCCTAATCCACCAAAAGTTTCGAATCTGTTAACCGATTTTGGGTTTTGACTCGAAAATAAAGGGTATTCATGAAGTATGATCCCACTCCAAATCTTAACTCTGAGTCTCAAACTGTTTAGGAGATATAAATACCCAAAATTTTGAGGCAAAAACTGCGTATTTGAGTGGGGGTATAGGTAATACTCCATGCATCTTTGCAATAAAGACAATACTGACTACACCATTGGAAAGAGAATTGAAAACTGATTCCAAACCAAGCTAAAGATTGGATTTTTGTTTCTTACCCTTTGATCAAATATATCAAAAGATTTTAGGAGAACATCGTAACTCTCATAACAAAAATAGATAGTGTTTAATTGTCACCAAACTTGCAACTTCCCAAGGTCCCTTAACATTCTCTAATTTTAAGGAAAGAAAATATTCAAATTTTGAAAAAAAAAAAAAAAATATAGCTTCTTTTTGTTAAATACTATAAAAAAATATTTGTCCTAAATTTGAATATTATCTTTCTTTAAAAATCAGAGAATGTCAGTCAAGAAACACGCTAAAAAGGCAAATCGTTAAATTAAGCGTTTTCGGATGTAACCCAAGTAAGGCCCATTGGTCGGATCTGCTCGAAAAAAATATTCGGAGGTGCGTTAATGCTTTCTGAAGCCGACGACTTGCATGATTAGGGTCTAACTCAAATAGGCTCGTTGGGAGACGAGAAAAACTACCTGTCCTTCATAAAGGACAAGGGCCGTATGGGTATAGAAAATATGACGATCCCTAAAATGCGGACTTTTTGATCAAAGTTGGTGTCAGTGTGTAGGTCTCGACTCAAATTTAAGAAATATGAAAAAAAACAATCGCAGTTTTGCCCTTGGGGACCGGGAAATGGGATAAACCGCCTAAAGGTTCGTCTCCCTCAATCGGATTCGGGCCCGTTTTCATCGATATCTGTGAGAAAAGTTTAGGTCGGATTTTGTTATTTTTATTCAAGAAATGGGTTTACCTACCAGGTGGTTGCAGGCTATCAACTAAAGAAGGTCGTGGTCATCACATTGCGTCGGCAATAGGTGGCCAAAAGTAAGGAAAAGTGTATAAAGCTTACGTCCTTTATAAATGACACTGGGCCCGAGGGGATAGTGTGGATGCCAATCGCCCTCCGAGGCGCCGAATTTGAACGGAAATTGATTTGTACCCACCCCACCAAGACATCAAAAAATCAAATAATACAAGTCACTTGAGAACAAGCAGGCCCACCCTTCCGCCAAACGAATTTGCCAGCTCCGCTTCGCTCCGCCGGCAACTCCGTTCGGCAGGGGCCGGGCCTGCTTGGCCTGCCGGTGGCGATGGTCGGGCCTGCGGCTGAAGAACATAATCAAATGATGTAGCGGGCCTTCGGCCCGCTTAAATTGTAATTCAAAGTGTGATGCTTTTCACACATTTTCGTGTGATAAAACGCCCCGTGTGATTCCCACGATTTATCACTCCTGGGGAAGGGGTCAATTTTTGCCACAAATTTTATGTGATGCCTATTGCAAAATAATGCGATTATTTCGGATTTCCTACAAAACGGCGTGAATGCACATTGCACAAAACTGTGATACATAAAAGTATCGCTCAAATGAGTGATGGTCATCACAAATATAAGCAATGAATTTAATGTTGTACTCTTCCTGCGATGATCATCACAACATCGCGCAATATTTCTGTATCACAGAAAACGTGTAGTCTGTATCACACTCTGATTTACAGTGTCGTCCTTGAGTTTGCCCCGTAGACACGAGAAAGGGATGTAACGGTGAAGCACCCGACTACAACCCACCCTTATGCTTAGAAAACGTTTTTTGGGTTAGGGGGAGAGTTTCTTTCCTATTTTGCGGTTTTTAGACCTTTTTTACAACTTATGTTCACTACAGCAATTTTTAGCTTATTTTCGTCAAAAAAGACCCTCTAGCGCCTAAACGGTTAGAGATACAGCCAAACGGACGAAAGGCAGAGGCCTCTACTTTTACGAGTTACCCCTTAGGAGAACATAGAAAAACATACTTTTCGGGAGAATTTTTGATCCTTGGATACCCCCATTCACACCCTTAGGGGTGGTTGCAAGAATTTGCCGTAGGCGTTTCGTTCTCTAGGAGTAGACCTTAAGATACACTGAAAATATCAAGTCTCTAGCACATCTCCTTCTAGTGGAACATACAGACACACAGACAGACAGACACGGCGAGGTCGTTTGCGCCAATCGGCTCCGGGCCCGTTTTCGGCGGCGTCTGTGAGAAATGTTAAGGTCGGAAATGTATTTTTTTCTCGATTTTTGGGCTTACCAACCAGGGATTTGCCGGCCTGCTCTTAACTGCAAAAGGTCGTTGCTATCAAATTGCGTCGGCAATAGGGGCCCGCCGAAAACGGCCCCGGAGCCGATTTGAGGAGACGAACCTTTAGACGGTTTATCCGGGATTATCCTATTTCCCAGTTCCCAAGGGCAAAAGTGCGATTTTTTTTTCCATATTCCTTTCACTTGAGTCGAGACCACACAATGACACCAATTTTGATCAATAAGTCCGCATTTTAAGGATCGTCAAATTTTCTATACCCTTACGGCCCTTGCCCTTTAGAAAGGCCAAGTCTGGAACTACGTTATTTTACGGCTGAATTACGGATTTCTTTGTTGTTCTCGTCTATTTAGGATCAAAATAACAAGAATTTCAAGTAAAATAGTTATTTTGATCGCAGCTTCTGGTCACGGTCCTTTAAGGGTTAAAGAGAAAATAAGTAGGGTGAAGGGGCCGTGTTTTTGCCTAGATATATGATTTGAATTTTTGTTCAGTCACCTGTTCACCATATGCATTTTTGCAACTACTTAGTAAAAAATTGGCACCTTTCTGGTGGCAAAGTTTTATTCTTTTCTCTAAATATAATAATACGAACTAGTCATTTTCATTATTTGTATTTCTTTCAGACGTGTCTATAAACAATCAGCTAGAAAAACTGAAATTTACCTGAACTTTTTATTTAGTTCTTTGGTTTCTGGTATCATTGAAGGAACCGTCTTTAACCGACCTGTAAAATCTCTCCGATTTTTAACACCCCGAATCTGACCATTGTTGCGATGTGCCGTATTAGCCCACATAGCACACATGTCGCGAACTTGTTTGTCTTTCATCGCTTTCGTCGGTCTTGCAAGGGACCCCAACAGTCTAAATGTCAAGGGACAATTTTTGTCCGTCGCAAGATGCGTCTGTGTGCACGTCTTGCTAGACGCAATTTTGAATCCTACATGTTGACAAATTTGTATCTTCTGCTGGACAAGTTTTTATTTTGTCCAACTGAAGATATACATTTGTCAACATTGCATCTTGCAAGATGTGCACACAGACGCATCTTGCTACGAACATAAATTAATTGGCCCTTGACATTTTGAGTAATGTGTAAACTCCCAACTTTCATTCTCCTTTGGGAAATCGTTGGTCTAAATGTGTCATCGAATGAAACGTCAAAATTTTTTCCTTAAGGGGGCATCCCTAGTGTAGCGAGCCTAAAATAGGGATGATTTCCGTAATTAATTTTAGAGAACCTATAGTTTTTGAAAACAAAACCGAGCATATATCGTTTTGTAGCGCATACTTTTGACTTTAAAACGCAATGTGTATGACGTCGATACGCCTACCCGAAGCTGCGATATCCCCTGTTGAAAACGGCACTGCAGCGTTGTCGTCTTGTCATGGTGTACCGGATTCCGGCCACACTGTTGGGCCGTTCAGGTTACGATTTTTAGCCCGCCCTTCTGCTTTTAAAAAAGCATTAAAGCGGGCTTATGCAACCGCTCTCGTGTCTGTCTGTCCGTCTGTCCGTCTGTCGTCCGTGTAAGAGGAAGGCGATGAGCTGGAGGTCTACAAATTTCAGGGTATCTTAGGGGTCACTCCTGGACAACGAAACGCCTGGTGCAAATCCTGGCAACCACCCCTAAGGGGGTGAAAGGGGGTAACAAAG